TATATATTTCTTATATATATATATGTGTGTGTGTGTGTGTGTGTCGATTCCTGAGTATCTCTTTACAGTTGAATGTATCATTGACCTCTTGATGTAGTTTGATCAGTTCTGCTTGTATTGCCCCTTGTTTGTTGAGCGATTGATAACGTCGTAGCAGTTGTGCAAGCTCGCTTTGTCTTCTTCACGGGAAATTTGTTGATTTCGGCCTGCCACTACACTGGATTTTATCATGTAGATTGCTTGTATAATCCGATGTATCTCATTCCGCGTTGTCTAATGTTCTCTTTTTCTCTCACGCTTGTTCTTTCGTAGTTGCATGTGTTATAGGGCTGGCGTTCCTCTTCGCTCAGCTATGTGCCCCTCGTCGATTCGGAGACCCAAAGTACCTCAAGTGGAACCGCCACCAGGCCAAAGAGGTCAAGATCCCTCTCTAAGCCATAAGTGTTGCCGATTCATCACTCCTCACAGATCCACACATGTTACTGTGCATAGTATTTCGGGGCCACGGGGTGAGCTTCTCTCTATTTTCTGAACCCTAATGAGGTGCACCATTATTGTTTCATGACGCACCGCTTCAGCCCTTCAAAGAGCTCCCGTTGGATACATGTACTGCCTCTAGCTATGCTCGCGCTTTTTTGAATTCATCATCCAGCATTACGCATGTTTTTAAATAAATTTGATACACTCTACCGTAATCATAATGAGATTGATTGGACATGAGATTTGGAGATGAAAGGTCGTGTACTGTTGATCGTTGGGTATTGCACGCTACCATCAGAACGAGGATCCTCGATACTTTGTCGATGAACTTAATAATACAGGCACGCCTGCTCGGTGTGGTCCCTATTACAAAAAAGAAATAGATCAAAATTATTATTTATGACATCGATTTCATCCAATGAGAAGCCTGCCTGCCACGGGACAGTCCTGATGCGAATTAGGGTTAAAACAGTTGTGTATGAACCACCCAGCATCAACGTCTCGAAACCGTTGTTAACCTACACCTGTTCTAGGAAAGCTAATACTAATACCACTTGCGGGAGCTATCGGCGTTGTCATACATAAGAGCTCACAATTTCGAAACCCGAACAGAGCACAATACCTGTCAGTCGTAAACTAAGCATGTTACAGGTGGTGCCTCTGTAGGACGCCAACTTGCCGCAATACCACAGGATACATCAGCGCATCATGCGAACATGCTCACCGGAAACTCCACGACTGCGTGCCCAGGATCTCTCGAAGTTCCTTCAAATTATAGGCGAACAAAGACGTTGTCCATGCAAACGTCACCCGGTGACTTCAGTGTTCGCTTTGATGTGATGAACTTACGGTCCCAGTCGCGAAAGTTGCCATATTTTTCGAAAGAGTCGTCTCAACATCAGACGAATCATCCTCAGATTTGGTCAATACCGATTCATCATTTTGACACAAACGGAAACTATCCACCAACTGGCCGGTTTTATAAAGGCAATTCCCAGATACATTTGATATTTACAGGTAAACTGAGCCCATGGTCTGGTTAGAAACGCCGTTCTACTTGACCCTGTAAGACATCAGAGTACATTTTGGAGACAATAATGTACTGCTCTGAGTAAACAAATAGCTGTTGTAAAACTATTCGCAAAGCCCCCTTTGTACAGCAGACTCAAACAGTACAACATGGGGAGTACCATCTGTCACTCATGCACTCGACTGTGACGCTGATCGAAATATATTTATACCGGAAATATGCGCCCCATATTCAGGTTGTATATCCTTTTTTATAGAAAGAAAGTAAATAGTTTGCTAGAAAAAACAATTGCGACCTCAAAATAAACAAGTAAAAATACCATTTAAACTGCAGCTATATCAATTTATTGTACAAAATTTTATCTCTAAATAATGAATACTATACAAATGACAGCACGAGCACCTTTGTGGGGATAAGTACTCTACCTCCTGTCTGATACCCAATACGCACTCCAGTACGTAATGACCGTACTGCACCCGGGGTTCTCTTACTTCCTACTTCTATATGTCTGCTCGCATGCACACTTCGAATGTTATATATTAAAGAATCGCATACAAGCTACCGATGTTCTTGCATCAGCAAAGGTTATCTTGTCCAAAGCTACTTCGCATTTCCTTACGCGGTGACTTCTTTTCCTTCAGTAGGAGGTTTCTGGGTGTACATACAACTACGCGCCACGCTCTCCCGCACGGAGTCGAATAGATCCTTAATCTCGGATGCGCAGTACACGAAACTGTAAATGTGGTAACAAGAAGTACAAATAATAAGTATTCCATGAAATGAAACAAAGATCCACGAAACTGTAAATGTGGTAACAGGAGGTACAAATAATAAGTATCACATGAAATGAATTTAAGTTCTAGGCGTTATACTACCGTAGCTGACGGCCCCACGACGAGTGCCGAGGACTTCATAGTGCGAGCCACAGTAAATATATAACAGTACAAAATATCTGAACCAGCTGAATGATGCTCACTTTCTGGTGTACGTCCGTGCACATGCTCTGAGATTCAACATTCGGCACTATCGCACACAGGAAAATAACAACAACAACAACAACAACAACAACAACAACAAGAACAAGAACAAGAACAAGAACAAGAACAAGAACAAGAACAAGAACAAGAACAAGAACAAGAACAACAAGAACAAGAACAACAACAAGAACAAGAACAAGAACAACAACAACAACAACAACAACAACAACAACAACAACAACAACAACAACAATGCGAAATCATACCGAGACTGGGCTGCTTTAAAATTCAGCGCACAGTAGCAAGTACAGAGCATATTTATAATTAGCGAGAAGAACGCGAAGGATGAGTGCTTACCTGTGGCTCCAGAACCGGTATCGGGGATTCTTGATCAACTCGATGAATGTAATCAACAGGCCCCAGGGATGTGGGCGGTGCACTATCAGGCGTTCAACCAGCACACGCGTAATCTGCTCCTGGATGACCTCCTGTAACGTTGGGAATCGAGTTTGAGTGGAGAGCACAACTTTGAAATGAACAAGTGAATAGTTATGCAATTAAATCCCACGCAAGAAGGGGACAGAACAAAGACCAGTACAGTGACAGATACTAAGTACCGTAAAGGATACTCGAGAGTTTACTAAATTGTATGTACGAGCCCAGTCGAGTGTATACCATTCGACTATCCTGATTTGGATAACCGCTCTCGACATTCGTTTGATATGCAACTTACATAGAAGTATCAACATAGACTTACCTGCTGAGCCTCTGCGAATAAGAACAAGAGCACACAACTAAAGTAGTGCGTATGGTTGTTGGGATATCGCAGTTGATTGGCAATGGCATTGAGACAGAAGTACCGGCCTTCTGTGTCCAAGTCCATGATCAGTTGCTGGAACACATCCATCGGACCTGACCGCGTAATTGGAGAGGTGCCTAAAGCGACAAAGGGCAAAAAAAAAAAGTGTTAGATATCATTATACGGGGTCTGTAACATCCAATCCAGCTACGTCCTTGCGTTAAACTAAATACGAAGGATAGGTCTTATCAGTCCGTCACAACACAAACATCATGGACAAGTTCATAATAAATTAGGAAGTGAAAAAATACATACGTTATGGTAGGTTAAGGCGTACATTGGGGACCAAGTCAAAGATGCAACTATAGCAGTTATCAGCGACATGCACATGACCTTACCTTGGGTCTTTTGAAGCTGTACAATCGCCTGCACACCCACATATAAAACGAGGGCGTTGATTAATGGCACGTCGTATTTGGTGCCGTATGCGTCAATTTCGGCTTGCGATTGCAGCAAGACACTCTGCGACAAGTTCATCAGGAACGACACCTCGCGTGTTTTAAGGTACTGAACAGGAAATGAGCGGATGCGAGAGCAATGTCAGCGATGTCGATTGTTATAGGGATTGACCTAAGCCCGGTGCGCAAGCTAGAAAGTACAGGAAAACAAGCGTGGCAGAATGATCGTGGGCAAAAGCACTAGAAGCTAGAAGTAAGCTAGAGGTATATAGAAGGAGGTGACCACTTGAACACATTCACCTGGTCGAGATGCCTTCGGAAATCGTTTTTCTCGAGTGCGGCTAGGTAGTCACCATACAGATTAGGGGACTGGTTGATCTCTGGCAGCAGATCCACTTTGAGATTAGGTGTGAAAGGGTCGGGTAACCGCATGTTCTTGGGGAACGCGCTCAGAATCAGATTGCGTACCTAAATATAGCATGGAGGAGATAGAAGCAGAAATGTTACTAATCGAGTTGGTTCCTACGTTGAGAATGAGAGCGAAATGACTCTGTAGTTTGTAAACAATCGCTTCGCAGGTTCGATTCATATAAGCAAATATTCACCCACTGGCGGCGACGTGACGAGCATGTGCTCGTATGCACGTACTAAACTATGAATCGGAAATAAATCTCACACATAACACCGACAACACAAGTCACAAACGGGACTCCGGGAAAGGACAGATGAACAGCACAAGACCACCCAACACATCCTAACGCTCAGGAAGGCTACTCTACGCAGCCCACGCCCACATATTCTCTTCAGCGACTGCCCACACCCCCACAACCACCCCGCAACACCCATACCCACCAACCACATCACATGCCGTTGTGAGGCCAAGTGGTATGGTTGAAGGGAAATGAGTGACGCCGAGCACTGCAGAGGTAACGAAACAGCCTCGCCGCACAAGGATGGGTATCGTCATCGCGTTATTAGGGATCACCCAGCACTAATTACACACGTGCTAGGAAATACGTAAAACTATAGCACTTATTACAGACGTGCTAAGAAATACGTAAAACTATTGCAGCAGGTGCACCTGACAATGATAAACGCTAAAATGAGACATGCACTCAACTTTTAAGATTAGACAACAGCAATCGACAGTGTGACTGCTGACAAGCTGTACGACAACGCAACAATATTCTACGACAATTTCAAAATATGGGGATCAACAACACACCTGAATGCAGGACGCTGGGATGGCGTCGCAGAAGGCAAAGTGGTAGTTGCACAACAACTCGGGGAAGTCGTGTAGCAGGATGAGCAGGATCCGTAGCAAGCCTTGATAGAGCACGCGCATAGGGGCCGTCATGTTGCAGCTGTAGGAGTTCAGGTGAGAGGCAATCAATTGGTGGATAACGGCAGTCGTGCCATGACGGAACGCGTGGGCAGCGACTAGCAAGATCGGTAATAGACAGGCCTGAATTCAGAAGACTATTCCATGGACAAAAGAACAAAAGCAAGTGACAAAACTGGTATTGAGAATTCACAGTACCGATGGGTGCACTCACCTCTTCAATGCGGGTGCCATGAACACCAACAGCTCTACCAGCAGCTTCTGGTACAGCGGCCAGCCCTTTTGTCCCTTCAGCAGCAACAGCTTAGGCATGAAGCTGCGGTGCGCGATCAATTTGAGCCACGCGAAGGCGAAGCGCGGGATACGCGCCGGTTGCAGCAGGTGCAGCGTGGACGCCAATCCGTTGAGGATTTGCGGCTGTTCGGTCGGTTTGTGGTGGGTGTGCAGGGGTGGTATTAGCTACAGTGCAACTTCGGGTGGGAATAGACGGGAGATGGTATCATAGACCGTGTAACCAACAGAAAGAGAACGTCTATATACTGTGGAGTATCAGGTGTGTTAGTGTGGGCGGGTTTGTACACAACCATATACAAGTGGAGCGACCTATTCCAACTCATAATATAATACACCAGAGTTCTACACGCAAGATCTGCTGCACTCGTGCAGACTAGGCATTGCGCGGCTCATGACACACAGCGCGACAACACCAACACCTCGGAGTGTTGCTCACGTGTGATAGCAAGTGTTCAGCCATGACACTAGACACAACAACATGTACTATAACAACAATACACACAACAACATATACTATAACAACAGTACACACAACAACATGAACTATAATAACAATACACACAACAACATGTACTATAACAACAATACACACAACAGCATGTACTATGACAACAATACACACAACAACATGTACTAAAACAACAATACACAACAACATATACTTTAACAACAATACACACAACAACATGTACTATACATCTCCAGCGCACACTTAGTGACATACGTGGATGTGATCCAGCAAGCTGTCAGTCTGCGTCAGATCTCGGAACAGATTCGCAATGAGCCTGAAGTACACTCTCTGGTACAGCTCACTCTTATCCTTGCTGCCGCCTCTACCACTGCCAATAGCCTTGGAATCACCATCGGACTTGGTGCCTGTACTGCCTGGCCTGGGTGCAGCACCCTCGCCCACATCGTTTAGGACAGCTACTACAACTACTTCGAGCGCTGTGTTGAGAAGTGACAGTTGCTTCTGTGCGGCTGCGTTAGTATTCGGGTCGCCACCGGCCATCTGTATTGTGTGGGGAATGTCATCATGAGATACTGACGGAATGAAATATACCTTGTGTGAACTGTACAGAGGATGTCTCATGGTTAGGGAGATATATGAAAGATGCATAGCACTCCACTGTCGTCAGCAACAAGATATGATCAGTCAGTCTTACAAGTTGCACATAGAAGTATACATAGTATTGGATATCGCACTTTACTTATCTATTCATACAACCATGTAACTGTGCTGACGAACTTGAGAAGCACGAGGTAGCATCAACCTCTTGCGAAAACTGCACAGGAACAACAAAAGACTGATATAACATAGAGCCACAGTCCGATGGCAGCATTGGTACAGGCGCATACCAAAGATATCTACGCGCATACGCCATATTATCAGCCATACACACACGACTAACATCGAACTCAGCCAGTAACACAGCCCAGCAATACAGCCCAGCAACACAAGCCTACCTTGATGAGAATGAAGAATAGCTTCGACACAGCGTCCAGCGCCATGTAGTTCATGTATCTCTCCGTAGGGCCTGAGGACTCCTTGCTTGCTACAGAGGCAGTGGCCGTAGGAGAGGCTGTGCCTGTGAGGCTGTTGAGTGGCATGGAGCCTGCATTGGCTGCATCTGCGGCAGTTGGTGATACGACAGTGCGTTCTTCCTCTGTGGATGGGATAAGAGAGTGTGTGAGCGAGTTAAGGAGCAGATGAGTGGTCTAGGCTGGTTGGAGATATGGGCATGTGGATGTACACGTGTATACGTATTAGTTTAAGCGTACAGTGTGGGCGAATGCATATAAAAGTTCTACCGGAACCCGGATTTGAGCTAACCCCCTCCTGAATGGAGATACGAAATATCTTCTCAAAGCAAGGACCGCATGGAACACTATATGCATTAAACAGAAGATATAAGTCTACTTGCTAACCTTCATTGAACAGAAGATATAAGACTACTTGCTTACCTCCATTGAATAGAAGATATAAGACTCTACTTGCTTACCTTCATCGGACACGTCTCTAAACGGCGCCTTGAGAGTGGCCTTCACCGCCACGGCCACACTGAGCCTGATAAACATCGCAGCACTCTCGTCACTCTTGAGCATACGTTGTTGTTGCAGCAACGTCACGAGGTGCGCGTACAACATGTCTGTGTGCAGTGGTTGAGAGTGGAATCCTAGACGCACACACTGGTCCAGTAAGAGTTCGATGCTGACGATAGTCTCTGGGGACACCATGTAGTGGGCACTGTCGGATTCGGAGCGGTTGTAGCCTTCGCGCAGCGCTTCAAGGGCATCCTTTACCGAGTCGCTTTGTACCTTTGAGTTAGTGAAGCACACAACTGAGATCAATATCAATATGCTACTTATGAATGTCACTCCAGGACACAGGGGAGTAGTGCTATAAGCACCTTCAGCTGGGCGAATGTCAGTACCCGAAATATCACATCCGATTTCGATCGAATGACCAACTACGCCTCATAGCAGCTTAGAGGCCAACTATACAATGGCCAAAGCACTCACCAAAGCGCACAACCGTCATAGCAAATACTCGCTACGTAACGGACCGGATAGCAGAACACCAACTGCGCACTGCGGAGGTGTACATATTCCAATCTCACACATCAGACATCAAATGACCAACTACGCCTCATAGCAGCTTAGGCCAACTATACAACGGCCAAAGCACTCACCAAAGCGCACAACCGTCACAGCAAATACTCGCTACGTAACGGGCCGGATAGCAGAACACCAACTGCGCACTGCGGAGGTGTACATATTCCAATCTCACACATCAGACATAGAAAACTTGCAATTGAATCGTGCTGCGTTATAATTAACTATGGTACAGCCTTTGCAAGGCATACACAAAGTGTACAATTAGCCCACCTACATCTACCATATACATGCACCTATGTACAGATACCTTATATATTTCATGAACAAACCACAGGCCTATGGTACAACCCTCGCAAGGCAATAACAAACGTATAACAAAACCATCTACACGTGGCATATACATGCATTGTACGCTTGCCTAGATACCTCCTATATTGCACGAACATACCACCGTCCTGGGTCGATCAAGTGCCGCAGCTACGCGCAACATCTTCGCGGGGGAGATGTCTGTGTATGAGGCTGGCAGCGATTTGTCACTGTGCAGCGCTGTCATGATATCGGCCACGGTGTCATTGTTCTTGCTGTTGGCCGTGTCATTGCTGGTGTTGACATTCTCGGTGATGTAGCTGGCCAGTTCACTATCCATGTCTGCATCGATGAGGAGACGCACTCTGTGCAAGTGTGGCGGGGGAAGGTTTGTGAGTCTTGGGGGAGGTGGGGGGGGGGGGGTGGTACGTATTTAGGTGTGTATTTGTGATTGACAAAAAAGCGTACTGTTGACATCCATATACATACATTCGCTTCATAAACAGTTCGCGACCAGGTGATGAGTAATAAATCACGAGAACTACTTCACACAACACACCTGATGAGCTTTGCAACCGTCTGCACGTTCTCGGGCGACAGTTTGACCTCTAGGCTCAGCTGGCCCAGGTAGAAACTGGTGACTGCTCGTGGCACTGCCTTACTGATATCGCACAGCGACTGCAGCAATAACACGTGCACATCTGCGGTGAACGTAGCAGCATGGTATTAATTACATTGAGCGAACGGTGCTATTTGTACGCACCAATCAAGGTACTCGGGTGTTCCAATTGACATTGCGCACGGGTCAGTGTTATACGAGGTAACAATGGTAAGCACCGTGCCCTACTCCTAAATTATGCAGCATCACTGCTCGTTAAAAATAGACACCTCCCTACTCCTAAATTATGCAGCATCACTGCTCGTTAAAAATAGACACCTGCTACACAGGAACATAAACAAAGACATTGACTCCCGAGAACATACAAGATGTACTAAAAACAGGAACATAAAAACGAAGACGTTGATTCCCGAGAACAAACATACAAATTGTACCACCAGCACGAGAATAGATATATCAGTGCAATCACACACGACTCAGTATAAATAATCACACGCACATCAGCCTCCACCCACCCACCTTTATATATCTGGTTGTCTTTGTCCGCGTCGATAGCAAACAAGGGCGGGGTGATCTTGTACGTCACGGCCAGGGCCAACTCCGCCCTCTTGGCATCCTGCATGACAACCATAGACGCCTGTCTAATGAACGCAAACAGGTTGGACGACACCGGGATGTCGGCCAGGCACTTCGCACCGGCACTCTCAGCGGCGTTGATAACCTTGTAGATCTCCGCCATAACCAGCATGAGCTTCTCCAGACCGAGCATGTTGCCTGTGCGTGTGGGGTTGTGAGGTGCAGGAAGTGAGTATGGCTGGTTATAACTGATGCCCTGTGTGTGAGTGGGACACACCACTGGTATATGCATAGCCGACTGCATGGTCTGCCGAGCACTGTGTCTGGCTCCTCGGCGTTACCGCGGGCGTGCTCATGCGATACAGGCAGCTAGGCAGAAGCATAGACCCCCCCATCTTTAAATAGACAGCCAATCAGGTAACAAAACAAACGGAGACATATAATACGCTAATTCAACACACGGTGGGGCCCATATGTCCAGGGCAAAAGCAGTCCTCCAAAAGGTAGTGCGAAACCAAATCGAGTTCAACACTCTCGCGCCCCTGTGTTACTTTGCCCACGCACGTATTTCCAAAACAACATTGGCAGTCGGAATCGGTACTCAACGGGTGGGCATTGGGGGTGACAGCTACACGATGACAAGCCACAAGCTATATATGTCAAGAAGAGAGCTGGATCACATTTACAGGAATGATGCAGCGCTCGTACGAGTGTATGTCTTGCAGGTGATACGTGCACACTTGCAGGACACTCGAAACCGAATAAATACTGACAGAGGGGAGATATCAACACGAAGAGATATATCACAACACTTTCAGTACGTTCCGGAACTACTGCCGCACGCCGCACAATGACGAGGTGGAAAAATGTAACATATGTAACAGAATATACACACCTGCGTTGCTTGTTTGCGACACCTGTGATTCGCCAGACTGTGGGTCCAGCAGCGGCTTGCTCAGATTCTCGTGCGACTGTGGCTCGTTACTACTGCCAGTCGGATACGCAGCGCCAATGCCTAGTACAAAGTACAGATACGAAGCAAAGTAGATGAGCAAATGATACAATACAGGCGGATATTCGAACCACATGGAAACCGGGCTTAGATTATGCAATTGCGGAATACGACGAAGATTCACCAATTTACGAAAAGTAAAAATTAAATATAAAGATTATCTACGAAATTTTGCCAATAAAAAAAACTGCGCATTGCACAACACAATTCCCGCACATGACAATCATTCCATCACAAGAGTATCATGACATGTGCCAACCGCATAGTGATTGTGGAAATGCGCGTGGCCCCAAACCTGCGATCAGCCAAGATTCGCTAAGCAAAGCACCACGCTTACCTGACGGAGGCGATACATTGCCGGTGAGTGAGCCCTGACGGCTCTTGTTGTCACCGCCGAATTTGGAGAACTCTTCGTACACGTGGTACTGGTGGTGCCGTAGCCCGGGTGGGGTGGCTCGCAAGAGATCGGGTAGGTACGCGGGATACCTAATATGGTCCCGCGGGTAATGTCGGAAGTAGTAGGATATTAGATTCATAATATAACGCACGTGGGATGGTACTAAACGGAGTGGGTAGCACAGCAAACAGAGCACCGACGTAGGTGAGCTGAGTCGGAGGTTGCGACGTTTGTGAGAATGATATACGAGACGGCGAACCGGACCCAAACAGTCAGTCAAGCCCCACGCGTATAAGCACTCAATACTGTAGTAATGCGCGTATGACCCATAATGTATGTCCATACAATTACCCGTACATAGACATTCACAGATTTCTGTGACCCCCGCATGTACCTGTTGTTGTTGTTGATGTACCCGATGTCGTAGAAGGGAGTGTTGGGGTGGTGGTCGTGGTGGTTCCTGCGTGCAGCATACGCCTGTTGCAGTGACTCGTCGATCTGGGCTACCGTCTTACCCGCTGCCACTTTCTCGATAGCTGACAGCGCTAACTCTAAGTTCTCTACCACCGCAAAGCGCACAGCCTGTACAAGTGGTACAGAGAAGAATGGGGGTCGGCAACGAAGAGATAGAACGGGGCAAGAACCCTTAGTGTGTTAGGGATTTCTAGACATATGATGGCAGGATGTGTTCAGGCAAATGCACGCTATCGAGGTAAGTATAAATTGCCCCCCACAACCCTTCTGATGCAACGGTATGGACAGTCTATTCAAAAAAAATATGAACAACAAGAACACAGCAACGCAAGGCAAGTACCTAGTTAAGCTGCACTTTTCACACGGCTGCGGAGAGAAACACATTTGACGAACATCACTGCGACAAAGCCCGAAGGCCTTACGCAAAGTAGTATCACAACAGAACACACAAAGAGGCCAATAGCATCGTGGGGTACAGCTACAGACTCAAGTTGAGCGTGCCACACCATTCGATTGAAAACGCAAAGATAAGCACACACACACACACACAAACACACACACACATAACAACACACACACACATAACCACACACACACACAAACACATACATAAACATACACACACACATAACCACACACACACACAAACACATCCATAAACATACACACACAATTGTAACTGCATAAACACACCTGCTCCACCATGATGGTCTGCTGCTCCATGCTGAGCGAGCCGATGAGGTTCGCCTGTTGCAGTGCATGCTGAAAGTTGGTCCGCAAGTGGTTGGCCAGAGTGGCTCTGAGCGGATCCTTGCACGTCACCAGCGCAAGATTAATGGACAGCGACTGCGCCATCACCTGTGTGTCGCGGACGGATATAAGTGAGTGAGAACATCGGTCTAGCTGGTCGGGACACGAGAGTTTAGCAAGGAGTTGCCAGTGCGCATTGAACGCTTACAAGCACATATACGTACACACAAGTGCCTTCGCGTGCGGATTAACGCAACGACAGTTATCGCCGGATCAGTCGCTTGTGGGGCCCTCACCAGCTATTCTATAAATAAATAAACAACAACCAGCCATGAAAAACCCAAACACACACACACACACACACACACACACACCTGAGCGGCGTGGCGCATTCTATTTTCGTCACCGTCCATTGCAAAATCCTTCAACACCAATTCGCGCGACGCCGTGCAGCAGTAGTAGACACTGCGCTCCAGCACACCACCCATCTCCTTAATGGACTGGTCAATGGACATCTGGATGCATCTGTGAGGTATGACATGATACACATAAATACACACATGTTTTAATTTATTGTTGTCAGGTGAGGCAATCGTTCTGAGAACTATTCCGGATCGGCTCACTGTCTTAGGCCACAGAAACCCAAGGCGGCTTAAGCCATGCTTACGGATGCCATTTATAAAGCCATATAAGGAGCGCGGTTTCTGTCAAACGAGTGCTTTGCGACGAGTACTCTTGCTTATAAGTCTTGTACTTTCAAGAAGGCTCACCCATCTGCTGGATGCCGTGCACAGACACATTCGTCAGATACACTCATGGCAAACAAAGGCATAACTGTATACTAACAATAGTATACACTACAGGTACAACACACATGCTCGCCACAGACTCGTACACGTACTTACACAACACAACGGGCACATGCTCTACACACATAACCTTGCGCTCAAGTACGTACCGCCTACTCAGCTGTGGCAGCTGCACGAAATACGCACACTGACTGTTGAGCTGCACCTGCAGATGCATGTTGGTCATGGGTGTGTCCGTGACCGCTCCCTGCGCCCCAGGCACCACCTGAGCCCCCGCGCCAATGGGAGGCGCGGGTATGGTGCTGGATGTGTTGTTGTTGTTGTTCGCAGAGTTATTGTTAGTGTTGTTGACGCCCATCTGAGGGACCTGCCAGTTGGAGGCGTCGATCTTGCCCATGCCCTTCGTCGAGTCTGTGTTCTTCTGCTGCTGCTGCTGCTGATGTTGTGCGTGCTGTGCGTTGAGCAAGTCGAGGGCGAAGGCGGGCAAAAAAAAAGTATCCATATCAAAAGTAACCACATAGACGACAAAAGTGGACTTGGCGAGAGAGAAATGAATAAACATGTGAGATACCACCACACATGCGACAAGAGAAGTCCCGAACATCTTCTCCGAAGATACCTCGCAAATTCAACTCTAAACACCTCTTATGCCCCGGTTGGTTGAGGCAGCTAGCGAAACAGGCACAGCTATGTCTGAACAACACAGGACGGCATATAGTGCCCAATAGGACGCCGACGCGTGCCACACCAACCCCGAGTGTACGTACGTACCTGTCTGGGCAGTAACAGGGCCGTGGCTGTTGTGGGGACCAGCTGCGCCTCGTCCATGGGCTGCGGAGTCAGCAGGTCTGACGGCTCAATGGCATCCAGATCCACTGCGATGTTCTTGTACAGCACCTCGATCTCAAACTTCAGGTTGAGCTTGAGGGCGGGCAGGCGGTGCAGCTCGCATAGCAAACGCAATATTCCCATTGTCCACGGGTTGGGGGGCGAGAACACGGCTGAGTGCTTTACGGCTTCAAGCACCTAGGTGGGTTGAATAGGGGGGAGTGGGGAGAAAGTGTGTGTGAGTGCGTGTGTGTGTGCGTGAGTGAGTGACAGACCAGGCGAGATGGTATGCAAGTGTGTGTTTGTGAGGAGGGAAACGAAGGTGCCACGTTGACAGAAGACAGACCTTGACAGTGTATGGAAGGATATGGATTAAGAGCATTACATTGTTCACGTTGAGTCTCATCTATCGACCACGGGAGAACGGTACTGGAAAGCCGGATACAGGCTTAGATTCCTGAACTACATCGCTTCATATGGACTATATACACACACTACACTGCAAGCTCTCACATATTATATTATGGTACCAGTACAACCATCAAACATGTTTTGCGTTTATACAGCAGCGTTGTATTGCCAGAGGACAGTAACCACGACCACTGAGAAAGACCACGTGACCGCTGAAGCGCGTACAAAACCTATACTAGATACTAATCTAGATACTACAGACAGTCCGATACTAAGCTAGATACTATAGACAGTCCGATACTAAGCTAGATACTATAGACAGTCTGATACTAAGCTAGATACTATAGGCAGTCAATCACTCCTACCTTTGCAATGAATGGCAAAATGAATATGAGGCGGCGTCGGTGGTAGCCCTCGACAATCAGGTCCTTCATGGGAAGATCGCGCAGAAGAATGGGACTATCCAAGCCAATGGTGATCAACCCCAGCCACGACCCGATGTTCTTCAGCAAACTCCGTTCCGATGACGAGTTGCTGATCTTTTCCGAGCCCAGCAGGATCTTGATGTTGGAGATAGAGCTGGAGCGCACCATGGGCAAGAGGTCTGGCACGGCGATGTGCTGCACAAAGCTAAGATACAGCTTGTGGAAGTTGGGCTCGATCGACGCACGCTTCACGACGATGTACTCGGACAGCCACTTGAAGAAGTCTAAGTGTAACCACTTCATGAGCTCCTCGCCCTTCTCAGTGAGGTTGATCTCTGACAGGTTGTTGAAGATGAAGTGCACTTTCTCCTGCACCGTCTGCGCGGGCGCGGCAATGCCCTGAGGGTGTGCGTGCGACAGAGATAAGGCAAAGTCAACACACGCAAGTATACAGAACAATGCAAGCGGTTGCTGATTCAAAGGTACTGTCAATGGTATATCCACTGTCTGTACATATGCGGGAAATGCGCTACAAACGAGATGCTATTGGAAGGCATCAATCAACAGTAGGTCGGACAAACTCGCCAACAAGCACTCCCCGACCGATTATAGACAGGAAACCACTACACACCCAATAGATCGACTCGATATGTTGGCTATACCTGGTATTAAGTGAACAGCAAATCAATGACTCTACATACCTGGCCACTGGAGGCCACCAGCAGTGTGTTGATGTTAGTGGTCAGACCAAACCCTGAGCCGCCCACGCCGGGAGACGCTGTGGCAGCCAAGTGCGGCGACGCATCAAACGACTTGCCGGTCCCAGTGTTTTGACTCTGGGGGTTGGGCGAAGGCAGGCTCGCATACTTCTCTACTTGTGCGTACAGCTCAGGCACTCGACGGACGTGCGGAATCTGTATAACGGGAGAAATGGGACTAGCGTGAGATAGCGAAACACGGAAATGAAATGATGAACGGATGGCACAGTATGTAGTACACCATATAGTAAGCAGTGTCCAGGCAGCAGTGTATGGGTGAAGAGACACATCTGGGCACTCACAGCACATGGTGTGCTTGAGAGTACAAACTGGTGGGCATTGATGTCGTACTTCACAGCTCCACGTGTGCAGTGTGGTTCCGAGTGTCAACCGATTGTGGGTCGACACAATGAGCTGAGAAATAGCTGGGGCGGACAATACACAGCAGTAGCGTACACAGTAAACTTGCTCACGCGCTCTTGCGCGGAGACACCCACAACTATAGGATGGGGAATTTCCACAACGCACAATCCTAGTACAAGTTGTGTATTTGCCTCATACACACACTCTCGTAGCAAGATGTAGTACTAGACATTAAACGAAACTACGTCAACATGCATATAGCACACCACACATCTACACAGATATGCAAGCTGGACCACCATACCTCTGCAATGGCATGGCAGTAGTGGGGCCAGTCATGGAGTCTCATCTGGAACTGTTCTAGTGAGCAGAAGCCAAACTTAAACATATTGGTCTGCGGCGGCTGTCTTAGGGCATCCAGGATATATCGCAGCGCAATCACACACGCGCCAAACCCTAACAGATGATTCTGGATCAGCGACCCGAACACTACGGACGTCATGGTCAGCTCCTTGTCAGGGTACCTGCATGGATGAGAGAGGGGGTTGGGGGGTTGAAGAGAAGGTAGGGTGCTGAGTACCACGATGTAGACGGATGATTGGCTGTGCATGGGCAGATAGTTGAGGTTTCAAGTGGAATTCTATTAGTCTGTCTGTACTATCACCATCACTGTGCCGTAAGTAAATTACCCCTGTTTGTGCGTGTCTGTGCTGTACACTTATTTCCTAGTCATATGCAGGAGTATGAGGTGTGGTTTCGTACGTGTGGGTATGGCTCTGCGCGTTCACGGGATACCTGCGTGTCTGCGATACTTACTTATGGAAGAACTTGTACTCATCAAACAGGTTGTGCACCATGCAGTCGAACACTTTCTGTTCGCGGCGATCAGGAGAGGCGTTGAAGTTGCGCAGCAGATTGAGCAGGTCTGTGATGGACATGGCCCCTGTGTATATCTTCTCAAAGTACGAGGTCGCTTCTTCCTCTATATCCGTTGAGAAGGATACCTGAATAGTGCAGATAGATACATATTACAGTTCGCGGACAATACTGTTAGCAGCCACACACCTCCACAAAAAAAATGCATGTCTGGACAATGCTTATCATCGAAATCAAAACTTCCTGGCATATAACGCCAGTACCTGAGGGCGTCGACGGGTACAGGCGATAACAGTACACGAACTCTCTAAGTGAGGCGAAGTCGGTCGTTTACTAGACGTGAATCGAGGAATAGCTGGCACCTACCGAGAAGTGCCCCACAAAGGCTCAAGCGGGTATGCCCCAAAGTTTCTATAGCATTTATAACGGGCATGCATATGCGCATACAACTTCCAAACACGTCTTTATAATATTCTAGGCTATAGCAATGACGAATTACCTATTCATCTCCGTATAGTACCATCAAGTACAGTATGGCTGGGTTAGTGCACACAACCGAACATCACTGATGACTTAGATCTACCACTGGTACATCGCTGATCTTGACTCATACCTGGCTGGGCTGGATGGGCTGGGTGTCTGTGGCGGCCTGCTGAGCCGCAGCCGCCAACTGCCTCGAAGCTGCAGTTTGAGCGGGTTGCGACAGATGCCGGCCCCCCCCAGGCGCACCCTGTTGCAACTGTGGGTGTTGTTGTTGTTGTTGTTGCTGTTGTTGTAGCTGTTGTTGGTTGTTGTTCATCTGTGGTACCTTGTTGCCGCCTGAGGATAAGTTGGAGGCGGGCGATGGAACAAAGGGAACGGCGGTGGCCGCGACCGATGCGAGTGAGGTGGTGGGTGGCATCTGCAGGGGCAAAGGTAGGATAGCGTAATTAGAGTATGTCCAGGTATATTGTGAATTGGGTCGTTTTTAAAACACTGCAACATAAAAGCACTATCAGGATGCATTCCACACAGTGTTGTCTACTCCGAATATCAATACAAACCCATAAAGGTATACAGACGATACTCAAGCCTATAGCCGGACGCTCCCGCCTAATGACTGGGCAGAAGTACGAAATCGAGTCGCGAGCAACAGTGCGACACAAAACAACCACGATAAGATATAAGTACCGATACCTACGAATCTTTCTTACAGCTCTACACATATACACAAGTTTGTATATAAAATTGCCAGTTTTCTAGAGGCTATAAGACTTAATTTCAAACAAATGCACGTTACATGGAACATACCCCCGATGGTTTCTGCATGTACTGTCGCTGTTGTTGCTGCGGGTCTTGAGACTGGAAGTGATGCGGGAACACGTTGATACACGCCGCGTGCACTTCGTTGATGGCCTGTGGGGATGTCCCGGCACTGTCACGAGAGGAGAGTGTAATGTGAACAATACGTCTCATGTGTCGGCGTGATGGATGGATATATGTAAACATAAGTGTTGCTCACCAACAGGCGGCGAGTTATGAAGGTACAGCTACGCGAGTATGCCGGGTGTATGGCAGTGGAGTATACTCAAACGAGCAGCTACCCGACCACGGACGAAGCGAAACGACGCTACATACATATATTGGAAAGTGGTGCGGAATGTGCTGCCTATGTATGTTGTGATTCGGCGTACGCTGCACGGTACCATATTCAAATCCACAACAAAGATTAGACAGCAGAATAGACAGCTCATATATGAGTTTCCACTTTGCGAGCTTGGAAGCTCTCGTACAGCATGCGCATGAACCCTCTAGACAACAAAACTTGAAAGAATGAACCTATCCAAAAAGAAACAAAACACTAATAATCACGCATTTAAACAATAGACAAGCGTATGGCACTACCATATAGGAACATAGAAAAACATAGCAGGCATTAGACAAAAGCGAATGACACCCAGATCACATACGATGTGAGTGCATCGATGACGAGCCTGCAGGTTTCCGGTGGCGGCACCTCCTTAGGGGCGATAGTCGCATTGGATAATCGCGACAAAATATTCCGTACCAACACTTGACCGAAAATTATAGCCGCGTTCTGATTGGCAGGATTTCTAAGGGTAACAAGGAGCCAAAATGCCAAATATCAAATCAGACATCTTAAATCGAATCCACAGCCGAAGCACTTGGCATGGAACTACTGTAGCATGTGTATGTGTCTGTGTGCGCAAAAATGGCGATAGGCTCGCTCATGTTAAAAGATTTTCGTATGAGAACGAGTAGATAGTGGACATATTGGAGAACGATGGATATTTCAAATCAAAGGTTGATTTATCAACATGTCTTGAGAGAGAAACCGGACGATACCAGGGGGAGGTCCTGACTCGCCAGAGAAAAAGTCCCATTCAAGTTTACTTTACCCACGCACGTATTTCCAAAACAGCAGTGAGATAGCTAGAATCGGTACTCAACGGGTGGGCATGCAAATGATGGATTCGATACCATGCGTAAGTGCAGCAGACGATACGGAGAAGAATAGTCAAGGGGTGCAAGGGGGGCACATATATCGAAAATTGAACACGGTTGAGTTGATATATTATATATATATATATATATATATATCTTTCTACATATATATATATATATATATATTATAGTATATATATTATATATTATATATATATATATACAATANANACGTGTGTATGTATAT